GCGCGAGACCTAGGCCCGGCGGGGCTGCCCGGAGGTACCAGTAAGGCCTGGGCAGCGCCGGACGGCGCCGAGCAGTCGGAGCCGAGAGAAGCCGCCAGGGTCCCTCACCCGAAGTTGAAGGAACAAAATGTGAAGTGCAGAGCCGCGTCAGCCGCTTCCTGGCGTGGGGTTTGGGGTGGAGGGCGGCTTGTTTTCCCCTCCCGCGGGACAGGGGAGGGGCGAGAGCGTGGCGGGGACGCCCGGGGTCCCGAAGCTCGGCCCGGCAAAGGCGTTCGTCTCCCGGAGCCGCCGTAGCGTGTGGGTCCGGTTGGGTCCCTAGTTTTGCGGCCTAAGCCGAGCCCTATAGGCCTCGCGTCTCCTTTCCCGGAGGGGACCGACCGGGCGGGGACTCGGGGTTTCTCTCCGACCGAGCCGGAGCCTTGGGGGCCTCGCCAGGCTCGGGAGGATCCCAAACTTCGGACCTCGGTGCTTGGGGGTGGATTTCATTGTGAAAGGTGGAATGGGAAACTCCTGGCGCTGCCTGGCGCTTCCCGCGGCCGCGGCGGCTGGTGCTGGAGAGCCCCGTGGGTCCGGGGCTGGCGGGGCCCGCGTGAGTGGGGGTGGCGAGGCGGCCACCAGGGTCCAGGCCCGGGAGGATCGAGCGGCGGGGCCGCAGCCGAGTCTCCGGCCTCCCTGGAGAAAGCGCCCTTTGCAGATTAGAGATTTTTGAAATGAAAAAAGAGGTTACAAAGTCTCCCCTTTCTCGCTGAACTTTTGTTTTCTGACCGATAGAGGCCGGTAGAGGACTGTGAAAGAAAAGTTGTCCCCCAGGATGGACTTCACCGCGCAGCCCAAGCCTGCCACTGCCCTCTGTGGCGTCGTGAGTGCAGATGGGAAGATCGCTTACCCGCCGGGGGTAAAGGAGATCACCGACAAGATCACCACGGATGAAATGATCAAGCGACTGAAGGTAAGCATCTGGACACAGTGTTCACACTTAGACCTCTGTGGTGGGGGGTGCTCTCTCCTGTTACTGCACTGCTAGGCCTGGCCTTTACTGTGTCACCTACCAGGTTTTCTTAGGTATCTTATAGTCTCCTTTTTTACTCTCTCCGAGAAGTATTGTTCTATCTTGGCTATATCTTTGAATAGTAAGTTCTGTAGAGACATAATCATTATGGGAAATTAAAAGGAGTGTGCCTGTTTTTTCAAACATAAGAATTTAAGTGTTTCTATAACTTTTTTCTAGAAATATTTATAAGAATACTGTTCATAGTAGATTACAACCTTAAATGTAGGCAATAGTTTGCCTAGGAAAGTTCCTGTTTTCATCAGCTTCTAAGGAGACTGATTTAATCACAAGGGCATTTTATTAAATTGTCACAATTTTCTAATATCCAGAAACTTAAATATGTATTTAGTATGGTTAAACTTTGACAAAATGTACTGACTTCAAAATTCAGAATTGAAGTAAGGTGATGATTTAGGTCCACATGTTCAAAGGGGTTTTCAAGAGAGAGTATTTTAGTTCTTTTTAATAAAGTTAGCTTATTTAAAGCATGATGATCCTAAGATTAAAGTTGTAAGTTTCAGCTTAGGTTGGTCAGTTTTTTTGCTTTCTGTTGCATAGACATAGATTTTGCCCACAGCCTTACAAGATAAATGCTGTTTTTGTCAAGGGATCAACTTGATGCAGTGGTTCTCAACCAGGGCATCTTTGACACCCCACCCCCACTCCCACCCTGGAGACATTTGGTTGTCACAACTGGGGCTAGGTTGGAGCAAGGAAAGGGAAAGGTTTGAGGCAGGGAGTCCTGCTAGGAAACTGTTAATAGGAACGTAGGTGAAAGATGTTGAAATCTTGAAGTGGGGCTGTGGTAGTGAGAAGAGAGGTAGGGAAGGATCTAAGAAATGTTTCCTACTTAGAAATCAATTAGACTTGGTGGGAGGTGCGGGAAGAAACAATGTTGATAGTATTTCTATCTTGGGCAACTTGATAAAGTGTATTTTTAGGGAATCATCTTGCCTCTTTGTTCTTAGAGCTTAGTGTAGTGCCTAGTAAGTGTTTACAATGTTGTGAGTGTTTAATGAATATTTAAAGTATTCCTGTAGCTTAGTTTTTATTTTTTATTTTTTTAAATTTTCTTTTCAACGTTTATTTATTTTTTGGGGGGACAGAGAGAGACAGAGCATGAACGGGGGAGGGGCAGAGAGAGAGGGAGACACAGAATCAGAAACAGGCTCCAGGCTCTGAGCCATCAGCCCAGAGCCCGACGCGGGGCTCGAACTCATGGACCGCGAGATTGTGATCTGGCTGAAGTCGAACGCTCAACCGACTGCGCCACCCAGGTGCCCCTAGTTTTTAAAATCTAATTAGATTCTGCAATTTGTTGCCTCTTGGGAAGGAAGAGGACACAATAGCTTCCATTAAAATAAACTTGATACTAGGTATATGTGAAGTGAGGTGCTTGATTGATGCTCCTTAAGGTTATATTGAATGTTTGGAGATGCTGAAAAATTATGAAATACAAAGCTGTTAAGTATAGATCTTTTAATCTTTATTTTCATATTAAGAATATTGAAATCTTGATTTCTGGTGATGGATAATCTGGTTAAAAAAGAGTTACCACAAGCGTCTGGCTTCGGCTTGCGTCATGATCTTGCAGTGTGTGGGTTCAAGCCCCAAGTTGGGCTCTGTGCTGACTGCTCGGAGCCTGGAGCCTGTTTCAGATTCTGTGTCTCTCTCTCTCTCTCTCTGCCCCTCCCCCGCTCCCGGCCCCCCCCCTCAAAAATAAATAGACATTAAAAAAAAAGAGTTACAACTGTATGTACTTCTGTGCTTGAAAGTAGATTATCAGAAATACTGTTATATAAATGGGCATATGACCAAGTTTACAATGAGCATTAGGTTAGAATATCTTTTTTTTTTTTTCTTTTTAAAGTGTATTTTTGAGAGAGAGTGAGCATGATCAGGGAAGGGGCAGAGAGGCAGGGAGACAGAATTTGGGCTCCATGCTGTCAGCACAAAGCCCAGCATGGGGCTCAAACCCAGCAACCAGTGAGATCATGACCTGAGCCTAAGTCCGATGCTCAACCAACTGAGCCACTGAGGTGCTCCTGGGTTAGGATATCTATTTCTTATGAGTTCTTGTGGAAGTTAAAATTAACATACATATGAACCATTTTGAATATCCTGCTAAAATTTTGCTTTTCTTAGGTGCCTGGGTGGCTTAGTCAGTTAAATGTCCACTCTTGGTTCAGGTCATGATCTTGCAGGTTCTTGAGTTCAAGCCCCAAGTCAGGCTACAGCTCAGAGTCTGGAGCCTGCTTCAGATTCTGTGTCTCCCTTTTCTCTCTGCCTCTGCCCTGTTCACACTCTGTCTCTCTCAAAAAAAGTAAATAAACATTAAAATCTTAAAATTTTTTTTTAAATTTTCTCAACAGTCTTATGATTTTGCTTTTCCCCTGTTTTTCTAAATCTGTTTTGACTTTGTACTTTCTAGGAATCCCTGGTTGGTTAAAGTAGTACTGTCTCATAGGAAGTGGAGATTTTTAACAGTGTTTAACTATTTTTGATAATTTTTGTGTTTATTAGACCATTATGCACCACTATTATAAATTCAGTAGTTTTTTTTATTATAGCAACAATGTTCAAATGCTGTATAAATACAAACAGGGCTTAAAGGCAGGTAAAATCTTGGTCAGTGGAATTCAGAGATGTTTGGTCCATTCTCTTCAGTATTCAAGAATGGAACAAGCATTTTTACAAGAGAACCGTAATTGTGGACTTACAAAGATGTTTAAAGAAATTTTGGAACTCCCCATATTTCACAGAAGAGAAAATTCGGCCCAAAGTGGCCAAGTAACATGCACCAAGATCAGTCATAGAGCAACTAAATGGCAGAGCCAGAACAATAGCATCATATTTATTTTCATTCTTATAGCTGATTTCCTTCAAAGGAATCTAAACTGAGTAGAACTAAGAAGTTGTGATTTTTATTATGCATTTGAAAATGGTAAAGTGAAAAGAGAAAGGAGTCTAAGTTAATTTGCTGTTTTGCAAGATGTAGGACAGCATTTTTTTTAACATTAGAAAGTATTATGATGGTTTGAAACTTTCTTGAAAGTAGTTCTTAGAGTAGGTCTTTGGAATTGCTAAAACACTTAGATACATTAGAAGCTTTAATTTCAGGGGCACGTGGGTGGCTCATTTAAGCATCCAACTCTGATTTTGGCTCAGGTCATAATCTCGCTGTCAGATTGAGCCCTGCTTTGGGCTTCAAGCTATGCGCTGGGCGTGGAGCCTGTTTAAGATTCTCTCTCTCTCCCTCTCACCCTCTCCCATTTGCTGGCACATGTGCTCTCTCTCTGTCTGTCTCTCTCAAAAAAAAAAAAAAAAAAAAAAAAAAAAAAAAAAAAAAAAGCAAGTTTTAATTTCAGCTTCTAAGGAATTCACATATTCTTATGTCCAATCACACTGGCCTTCTGTCACTTCCTTGTACATGCCATGTTCATTTCTGCCTAAACTGATTCCACATTATGTGATCCATATGTGTACCCGTCTCAACTTCATGTGTCATTCATTTGTTCTTCTGTCACTCATTTGTTCTTCTTAGAGGAGGTCTCTTAGATTTCCCATTAACATATTTTTCTAATTCCTTCGTATCACTTATTACAGTTATGATATACATTTATGCATATGTGTATTGGGTTTGTCTCCCCAACTTGTATGTAATCTTTGTGAATACAAGGACCATGTCTGTTTACTTTTATACCCTGCCAACTCCCAAATTTAATGCCTGGAACATAGGTGCCCAACAGATACTTGTTCAGTGAATGAATGTTGGATTAGAAAAGATAGTAATAGAATAGAGAAATAATTTTGTTTTTGAAATAGGATAGTTTGAAAATATTGTGAATGGCAACCAACTTTTTATCAGAGATTATATACCAGAGATGATAATGTAGATATGTAGAATTTTAGAACCAAAAGGTAGCTTAGAGGTTATTTGGTTTTGTCCTGATTTTCCAGATGAAGAAATGGAGTCTGAGATGTTGTGACTAACCCTAGTTACAGAAAGCTGAAAATGATTATTAACAGTTTTGTTATTTAGGGTTGCCTGGCTGGCTGAGTTGGTAGAGCATGCAACTCTTTTTTTTTGTTGTTGTTAATGTTTTATTTATTTTTCAGAGAGAGGCAGAATTGGGGGGTGGGGGGTGGGAAGAGGCAGAGAGAGAGGGAGACACAGAATACAAAGCAGGGTCCAGGCTCTGAGCTGTCAGTACAGAGCCCAACGCAGGGCTTGAACTCACCAACTGTGAGATCATGACCTGAGCCAAAGTCAGATACCTAACCAACTGAGCCACCTGACACAGAGTATGCAACTCTTGACCTCAGGGTTGTGAGTTCAAGCCCCATATTGGGTGTGAAGCCTACTTAAAAAAATAATAATAATATATAAACAGTTTTGTTGCTTACATATGGTACAATTATATGCTGTACAAAAGTTAGTTATCTGTTAGAAAGGATAGCAGGTAGCTTACTACTAAGGTTACATTAAGCATCAAGATCAATAGTTCACAAATGGCCTGCCTTCTATATAGTTAAGGATTCTGAAACTAATGTAGCAGTCATGTCTGATAACTTTTATAACATATTCAAATACACCTATAAACAGTGTTGTACAAAGTTCCATTAAGTGCTTCTGCCCACAATTTGTTATATGCAATCTGTCTCATATCATATATTACCAGAGAACTACATGCTATTCACATTTTGTTCATTACTTGCTTTTTTGGAAATGGGAAGTCCTTGATAAGGCTTGGTTTTTAGAGAGAGGGGCGGGCAGGTTAAAGATTGTTTCTTTTTTTTTCTTTTTTCTTTTTAAGTATGTATGTTTTTATTTAAGTAACCTCTACTCACAGTGCCAAGATCGAAGAGTCATATGCTCCTCTGACTGAGCCAGCCAG